TATCCACGTGCCCTTAAAGTGGAATTCGTTGACCTCCTTCAGGGTGTGGGTCACCTTCCCACACTGCACATTTGCGCTCTATTATTTGCAAGCTAAGTTGTCGCCCGGTCTGCCCTGTATAATGGCAAGAGCAGGCGCGACATGACACTTGATAACAGGGGCCAGACTGCTCACATTCTTTGATCTTAGTAGTAAGTGAGTAGGCGGACAATTAGAAAGCAGTTCTAATCGCAACTGTGCCTTCCAGTGAGCTGTTAGAAGACACTGCATGCGCTTAATCCAACTGCTAATCCTGTGTAGTCTTTGCCAGTTATTTTTGATCTGCAGGACCGTGCGGCACGCGGTGACGACTGGTCCACTTGAAGCCTCCTGTATAGTTATCGCTTGGTAAAACTGCCTGTTCATACTGTGTAACCTGAATTAGGACAAAGCGCGTTTTGTGACGCGTCCGAATGACTGTTGTAGTCGCCCGGAAGCCACGGCTGCGATTTGAATGAGTAGCGCCACTGTTTCTAGAATTGGGAATAAAAGCACGCAATAAAATTAACCTGTTCATTCTGGTAGAGTTTAAATTAGGAAGGCGCGCGCCAATGCTATAACGCCGAACGACTAAATTCGGTATGCGGCAAGCCACTGATTTGGAGGAATGAAACGCCTGCTGACCCCATTATTACCTCGAATGCCTGAACATTGTGAAAAGGGGTTATATGAGTGGGGTGTCGAGATGCCAAGAAGTAGGCTCATTAGCTTTTATCAGGGTTATAGTAAGGAAACAACTAGCACCCTTGTCACCGTATGTCCATTTTAAGTCTATTTTAACCATATCCGTGTCCACTTGGAGTTCCACTTGTTTCTCACTGCCTTTTATGGGCTTGGGCCGACAATTGAGGTACTCATCAGAGTTATCTGAACCTGTGGTTGGGACGGGGAGCGCTAACCAGTCGCGTTATGCGTTGAGGGTTAGGGGTTATAATGACCTGGGGGTTGGGAATACCTGATTGGTTACAATTAAAAGTCAGAAATGGTTATTTCAGTCTCCTCTTGTTTTTATCTGTAATAATATTCTGCCTGGTGGGACGAGCTCCAAGCCCCAAAGGAAGGAGTGTGTCCCTCAACGCACCCCTCTATTATTGGTTAATAGACCCTATCACAACCGACAGGACTACGAGTCCGTAGCTCTCATTGGTCTGGGCGTTCAACTTCTAACCAGAAGTTGCAAATAAACAGCATGAGTTGTATATGACTGACTGACGACCGTTAATTAAGCAGTAATGGTAATTCCAGTCTCCCTTATCTTACTCAGTCATGCCATTCTACTTATTTCAGGATCTGTTTCGTTGTTTAACGGGCTGAAAGTTCACTGGTAGCTTTGCGTTCTTTCTCTCATTAGGCCACGCCGGTAGGGGGCCTGGGTTAATGAACTGTTATAGGTGTTTTTCTTTATATCTTTCCTTTCTACATCGTTTACGCACCCTTCATCCACAGAAGACCTGCCGTTTCTGTAGGCTTACTTAGATTCAACTTCACTTTCTTCTCCTTACACCCCTTTGTGTTGTGCTTTTTGTAGGAATTTGGCACGCTCTTGACCTCACTACAGAAGGAGCGATCGCAGCTGCTGGAACTGGACCGTCAGAAATCCAAAGTCATTGACAGTCTCAACTACCAATTCCTGGTGAGCAACCATTTGCCCTTGTGCGTCTGATTCGCAATTTTTTTTCCTCACTACCTCTCTTAAGAAATGTCCACCTACACCGACAGTTTGACCCCTCGATTTCGGCGATGTCCATCTCGTGCATCAGCAGGCTACGGGCAAGCGCGGTGACTTGCACGGGAATTCGCTTAAAGTGATATTAGGCTTGCGCAGCATCTGCCGCACTCTCTCTCTTCCCTCACCCATCTGTGCCCTGCGTCTAGATTTTGCCAAGAAGACCAGAGGCGGGAGAGGGCGGAGGTGGCTGGTGCGGCGTGAGCCTGCACCTAGGCGTGCTAACACATCCC